CGGCAGCTTCTCGAGATCGAGCGATAAAAGACGGGAGATGTTTGTGAGCTCGGGACGATTATTATTTTTAGAGGCATCTGCGTGGCTGTTGGCTGACAGCGCTCGATCAAACGGTTCCATTATCACTGTGACTGGCAGTAATATAACTGTGCCGTCACTGAGCGCACACTGCCAGGCAATAGACTTTTTCTCCGGCAGCTTGAAATGTTATTAAGGCGGCTAGAAACGTCAATCAGAACTTAGTTTAACTGGATAATGGAGAGCTCCGGTGTAGGTAGTTACCGCAGCAAAGAAAGAAGACGAGTTTGGGAATTTCAAAATTGTTCTTAGTTAGGTACTTTTCTCTCCCACTCTGACACCAACGTTCACCCTCTCTCCCACCAGGGGCCCGCCGCCAGACCGCCACCTGCGCTCCTCGACACTCGGGCACTCGAGCGAGCGCTTCCCACCCCAGCATTCCAGTGAGAGACTCCCCAGCACTCACATGAGCGATGCGCAGACTGCTGAGGAAGTTGGACTCTCCGTTGGGCGTGACCTCGTGCAGTTTGGAGAGAATGCGTCCGGCATCTGTGGTGAGGGTGGTCAGCACCTGACCCCTGCGGCGAGAAAGGCCGTCAGACAAAGTGGTGGGGTGTGACGCTCGAGCGCAGCGCCGCCAGGGGCGGGTGAGCCACCCGACGATGAAAAAGTCCGAGCAATAGACCGAACAGATTATACACTGGCATCTACAACTTTAGCTGATCCCGGTACAACATGTAAAGTATGCACGCTCCACGCTCCGCACATCCTGTCACTTAAATCCATTGACAGTTTGAGACGCATGCTGCTTATGTGTAACAGGGGAGAACCATACTTTTTCACAGGGGTACGGTCACTTGATGTGACCTGGTGACCGTTTTTAACCTGAAGCTTAACGTTTTCATGTCCGAAAAAGATGCGTTTGGGAAAGGAATGAAGTCCCGATAAAAAAATAGAGGTTGGTGTAAGAGCACTCTTCCTACAACATGGTACGTGGGATGAAATTACAAAGTCGACATGTGTTTGTCAAAACATATTCATTCGTTAATACATATATATATATATTTTTTTAAATCAAAGATCTAGCACCACCATGGGCTATTCGTCGTCGAGTACAATCATAGTAGCCCGTCGGTGATGTGCTGCCACCTGTTCCGGTGCACAACACCATACGAGCGCACATGATCCCGCAGGTGGCAGCAGAGTCGACAGCTAACATCCTGGGAACAAATCTACAGCAACTTGCCACGAGCGAGCGCGAAGGCCGGAGCGCCAAATGAAGTTCTTCGTAAATTACCGGAAAATTCTGAGCGTCAGCGGCCGACCCGCCGTGGTCAGGCTTTTCAGGGGCTGATGGTTCAACAGTCATTGGACCGATTTCCATGCGGTCTTTTTTTGTAGGGTCACTCAATCTCTTTGACTAAGATTGGACTCGTCCCGATGTCTGTAATGGGGATAGTCCCTATTCCCTTACTGCACATGTCTCGGGCAAAATGAAGAGGTGTTAATTTTCTTTCCATTACGATGGCTCGGTAACTATTGGGCCGATTGCGCTGAAACATGACATACTGGCGGGTAGCCGCCAGACAATGTATTATATGAATCATAGTTGGGGTGCTACTGCGCGTGCGAATGTGCTGATGCAGGGGTCGCTTCCAGACCTTGAGAACACATAGGTCGATTGCACTCACATCTTACTTAATGAATTTGATATAAAGTTAGGGATAACTCAGCCAAGTGAGTACAGTGCCGGGCACACGTCACTCGGGACCCAGTCTGCATGTGCACATGAGTGCCGCTTACACATCTTGAGAATGGCTGAGCAGGACACACTCAAAGTTGGTACAAAATCAGGGACTAGATAGAAGCATCATAGCATGACACACAAAAGTTATCTGCAGGTCTCACTTAATTAGTTAATTCTTCTGCATATGCAAAACTTAATCTCACACTCACTCACTAATTAGTCAGCTCAAAAGTCAAAAGGCTCCTTACTGGTGCATTTCAATTGAGTTTTTTCATTGAATCACTTTTATAAGGGTTGTGTGGTCCCAACTGGTTATGCTCACAGCAGTCAGCTGCAAGTAGGTATGTGGCCATCATGTCACTGGTCTGGACTGCTGCTCACTCACCCGGCAGAGGTAATGAGGCCACAGTTGTTCTCCGGATTGGAGCGCGTCTTGGCATGGCACACCATACCGACGGCATCTTGCTGGGCCTGAATGCGCGATGGCACAAAATCGCCATTGCGCATGTAGTCACTATTATCAATGCTGTAGGTAAAAATACGATGGGTTAATGATTGTAAGTGTGGTTGCCTACCAGGGCCTGCATTTTTACTGGAAGAAATATGGTTTTGCCATTTGCTGGTTTGAATCAGTGTTACAATGTTAGTGTCAGTGTTACAAGAAGCAAAAAACTGGCAAAAAATATAAATTATACCAAATATTTTGCTTAGGAGTGCCATTGAACAGCTAACATGTTAAGGAGGATTCAAATATGCTATGAGAAAACCAGCAACATGCTGAAAAAAAATGATATAGAACAGCACTCAATAAGTATATGTCTTGGGTTTGACTTATTATCCGTCTGAATCAGGGCTATTGTGCTCTTTCCATTCCTGAACAGGTATGACACTGAAGAGGGTTTGTGAGCATATTCTAGACAGTACAATGAAGTGAGTAATGTGCGTATGTATGTACCTATGTATTTACGATCATGGGTGATCGGTATCGGTAACCCTGGCGTCACCGGTAGCGTTTTCGTTCAAAGTTAAGGTTTCTTGTATTAGGCAGCATTAGGCCACCGTGCCAAGCCGAAGCATGCTGTGACGTCACTGGGTAAGAGAACGTACCAAGCTATCAGTATCAACTGAGACTCAGATAGACTCAGAACGACTCAGGCAGACTCAAACTAACTCAGACCGACTCAACCGACTCAAATAGATTCCGATCGACTCAGACCGACTCAGAACGACTCAAACTGACTCAGACCGACTCAACCGACTCAAATCGATTCCGATCGACTCAGACCGACTCGGAACGACTCAACCGACTCAAATAGATTCCGATCGACTCAGACCGACTCAGAACGACTCAAACTGACTCAGACCGACTCAACCGACTCAAATCGATTCCGATCGACTCAGACAGACTCAGAACGACTCAGGCAGACTCAAACCGACTCAGGCAGACTCAAACTGACTTGACCGACTCAAAACAACTCAAACTGACTCAGACCGACTCAACCGACTCAAATCGATTCCGATCGACTCAGACAGACTCAGAACGACTCAAACTGACTCAGACTGACTCAACCGACTCAAATCGATTCCGATCGACTCAGACCGACTCAGAACGACTCAAACTGACTCAGACCGACTCAAGCGTCTCAAATCGATTCCGATCGACGCAGGCAGACTCAGAACGACTCAGGCAAACTCAAACCGACTCAAGCAGACTGAAACTGACTCTATTTGAGTCGGTTGAGTCGGTTTGAATCCGCCCGAGTCTGTCTGAGTCGTTCTGAGTCTTTCTGAGTCGCTCGGAATCGAGCTGAATCAGTCTGAGACTGCCTGAGTCGGTTTGAGTCTGCCTGAGTCTATCTGAATCGGCCCGAGTCTGCCTGAGTCGGTTTGAGTCTGCCTGAATCGTTCTGAGTCTGCCTGAGTCGCTCGGAATCGATTTGAGTCGGTTTGAGTCGGCCTGAGTCGTTCTGAGTCGGTCTGAGTCGATCGGAATCGATTTGAGTCGGTTGAGTCGGACTGAGTCAGTTTGAGTCGGTCTGAGTCAGTTTGAGTCGGCCTGAGTCAGTTTGAGTCATTCTGAGTCGGTCGAGTCAGTTTGAGTCTGCCTGAGTCGGTTTGAGTCTGCCTGAGTCGTTCTGAGTCTGTCTGAGTCTGCCTGAGTCATTCTGAGTCTGCCTGAGTCACTCGGAATCGATTTGAGTCGGTTTGGGTCCGCCTGAGTCGTTTTGAGTCGGTCTGAGTCGATCGGAATCGATTTGAGTCGGTTGAGTCGACCTGAGTCAGTTGAGTCGGCCTGAGTCAGTTTGAGTCGGTCTGAGTCGGTTTGAGTCGTTCTGAGTCGGTCGAGTCAGTTTGAGTCTGCCTGAGTCGTTCTGAGTCTGTCTGAGTCGATCGGAATCGATCGGAATCGATTTGAGTTGGTTGAGTCGGTCTGAGTCAGTTTGGGTCGTTTTGAGTCGATCTGAGTCGATCGGAATCTATTTGAGTCGGTTGAGTCGGTCTGAGTCAGTTCAAGTCTGCCTGAGTCAGTTTGAGTCTGCCTGAGTCGTTCTGAGTCTATCTGAGTCTCAGTCGATACTGATAGCGTGGTACGTTCTCTTACCCAGTGACGTCACAGCATGCTACGGCTTGGCACGGTGGCCTAATGCTGCCTAATGCAGGAAACCTTAACCTTGAACGAAAACGCTACCGGTGACGCCAGGGTTACCGATACCTGGGTGATCCACACATTGACATTGACATGGCGCGGCAATTACCCAATTCATAGAGTACCTATCATAGAACAACCCTTGGTTAGGCAAGCTCAGAGACAAAATAGAATGGATAGAATGTTTGTATGCAAATGAAGAAAATGATGAAAATGAACTTATAAACTGAGTCACGAAAAAAGTAAATTCAAATTGAAAAAGAAGGCACGACAATAATACCGGCACGATGTACGAAAGAAAGTGGTAAAGAAACTGGCTTACCATATCATAGTACTTTCAAGTACCATGATTTTCAATTCTCCCTCTCTCCTGGTGCTTGAATAATCCACAAAGAATCCTCCAAAGCCTGAATATACCGAAATTATTACGGATTTTCACCCCGGGCCCTTCTGCCGTTTTTATCTCTTTCTTGCTCTTTCTCTTATTTGCCCGTCATGTTTCAAGGATCCAGAAATAGCTGTTAAATAATGGTAATAGCTGTTCAATGACGTCATTGAATACAAATTGTAAAATCAAGCAAAACTAAAGAAAAACGCAAAAACAGAGAGTCATGCGGACAAAGTGTTCCAAAAAGTACAACACATTTGTTTATGGTTTAAAGTCCCCACTTTATATGCTTAATGCTTATTTCTTACATGGGAACTTGAAGACAAGACCTTTGGAGCGATGACGTAAGATGATCAAGTTTTGTAAATCTTATTGAAAATATATTTTGTTCCAAATATGAATCAAAGGTGCTCGTGAAATAAGAACTCTTTGGTAATTGGCTAGTTTCTGCTCGTTCTTCCGTTGCTGCGTCAGTGTCAGCCGCAAACCCTTCAAGAGACCAGAAAAGACGAATGCGCTCCGTCATGCATATGTCGTCAAGCTGTGTCAAGCATTGCTGCACGCGGGTTGCGGGGCGCATCAACTTACGGTAATTTGCATTGCAGCTGTATGAATTGGTGTGATTCAATGATTCAAGGCCGTGAATAGGGTGTGATTGTTATAGGGTGAAGACTTCCGCTGGCGTCTAACTTGAACTGAGTAGACGTCCAAGTTGGCGTCTAACGTCAACGTGGTCACCACGTCGTGGTGTCTAACTGTTGGACAGAGACTTCCAAGGGTGGACGTTCGGGGGAGGTAAATCAAAATAGAGGGCAGGTATCTTGAAACTGCAACACATATTGAAGCACTTTTTAATAATATTATCTCAAATTATTGTAGGGTGTTAATGATTACATTCTGTAAGCTATATGTTTCTAAACTTGTATTGCTAATTTTTCTGGTAATTCAGGGACCATTACTGCTGCATGCCCCGCAGTCACCTCTACAGAATGGCCCCACTTCCAAGCTAGATGCATCTAAAGTTAGCCGTCGCCATATAGATGCAGCCCTCATCTAGCTCAAGCTAGATGCGTTTAAGACTTAAACGTGTCCAGCTAGACGCGAAATGGAAGTTTCCACCAATAATCTTTTTTTTTACAGAAAACAACAATTTTTCCATTGGTTAGACATGTTAATCCACGTGTATGTGTTGACACATGGTCCCCCTAGGTCAGTGGTCGGCAGGTCCTCCGGGGTCGTGCCCCCTTTTTTGGCGCCAGCCAGCGCCATTACCCCCACCTGCCAGACCCCATTGGTGATATAACCATGGTTACTAAAATTCCATACTTTTCCGCGACTCTTTGGGTACCATATCTGCGAGAAACCACAGGCTCACCCCCCCCCCCCTGCGGTTTCTCGCAAATATCTAAAAAAAAAAGTTGAGCGCCACCATTTTGTCACATTTTGTCTACACATGTTGTGAAAATTTCAGACCAAAGTCGCTCAAAGTCTGGGCCCTGTTTCACCGGTGATAGCAGCACGCTGCTATCACGTTTCGCGAGCTGACGTCATGTCATGACGCCATACTGTTGACGTGATGGGTAGTTCTGGCGCTCGATTGCCGCGACCTTGGCGGCGGCATTAAGTGACGTATGAGCCTAAAAGTAAGAGTTTACGCAGTCATGATGGTATATTTATTTTTAACATATATATTTTTTAATATGATGTATTTTAAAGCAGTTGGGTTTAAGGAAAGTTTGGACGTAAACTTCGAACATTTAGTTGATGACGTAAAACAATATTGCGGCAATCGTGCGCCAGAATTGCCCCTTACGTCAGCAGTATGACGTCATCACATTACGTCAGCTCGCGCAATTTGATAGCAGCGTGCTGCTATCACCGGTGAAACAGGGGCCAGGTCACCAGATCACGTCAAGTGACCTCACCTCAGTAAAGACTGTAATGCCTGTTGTAGCTACACAGAGTAACAGATCTCTTTCAAACTTTCAGGAATTGACAAAGGCAACAAAACATGTACCTACAAAATTTGTATCTCGGATATTTGATGTAGGTGACCAAAGGTCAGCTCACTTTCACGCCCTCTCTCGTTATCAATGGGAGAGGTCGCGAAGTCGATGGTAGAAATTGAAAGACGCCTCTTTTGGATGAATGTCATTCCTAGCCATGGGCGTAGGAACGTCATGAAAAGTGGGTGGGCCACCCTGTCGAGGGGCCTCCTTTTCCAGGGGGCCTCCTATTTTCAGGGGCCTCCAACTTTTGCCTCGTCCTGCTGGCTGCTTTCAAGTATGACCTCCAAATCTAGCTTCTGAGATCGGGCAGATGTACCCAGAGGCGTAACCGCTTGCGAACAGTGCGGAAAGTCCGCACCATTTTTAAAACTTATTTCCCCTCCGATTTTTTAAGAATCTATTTGCCGCAAACGGCGCATGACCCCTGAAAACCCTTACACAAATGTCTTCCTCGTTTCCCAGGTGCCCCCATTAGCTTCATAGGCGCCCTCTTTGGCATATAAGCGCCCTATGTATGGTCATCAGAGACTATATGTCCCGGACAGTCGCCCCGTTGTCGCATACAATGTGCGCTTATCATAGGCGTCTCTCTTTTATGGACACTTGAAGGCGCCTCTCTTTGCCATGCCGGCGCCCCTGTTTCTTATCAATGCACCCCCATGGCATTGATCAATTGCAGACCTCTATTGCATGTGGACGCCCATATATGTAGGCCTCAGAGGCGCCCCTCTTTCGCATTGAGGCGCCCCTATGGGCTTCATAGGCGCCCCTCTGGCTCTATTGCACGTAGGTGCCCTACTGTCTCAGAACCGCTCCCCTTTGGCATGCAGACGCCCATCTTTCGTACGGAGGAGCCGCTGTGATTCTTAGAGACGGCATGGTGCTCCCAGACGCAGATGGGGCTCTCGGAGTCGACAGTGTGGGACTTTCAGTCGCTGATGGGTGCCCGCCAGATGTGAACCCTCGGAGACGCCGGTATGGGGCCCTCAGAGATGCCGGTATGTGGCCCTTAGAGCCACCGGTGTGGAACCCTTAGATACTTCAGTGCGAAGCCCTTACAATTGCTGGTGTGGAGCTATGAATGCGCTGGCTTAAATCCCACGGAGGCCGGTACATGGACATTAGAGCTCAGTGAGAGCTTGTGTGGTACCTTCAGTGGCCTTGTGGAGCCGTTAGACATCAACATGGTGCTCTCAGGAGCCGGTGAGTCCTCAGAGTCACCGGTGTGGGGCCTTCAGAACTCCGAGAAACTGGTGTGGGGCCCTCAGAGGTGTCGGTGAGGGTCCTTCAGATGCACCTATAGAGCCTTGAGATGCACAGGCGTGGTGGCCCACAGAGGCGCCGGTGTGGGCCCCCCAGAGCCACCGATATAGGGCCCAGAGACACATAGTATGACCCTCAAAGGCGCCGCTGTGTGGCGCTCATAAACACTGTTGTGGAGCCATCACAGGCGGGTGGAGCCGTTAGAGGCCGGAGAGGGCCCTTAGATGCCTACAAGGAGCCTTCAGAAGCCGGCATGGCACCCTTATGGGGATAAGCGTGTCTACTTAGGAGCCCTTGAGGTGCTCTCATGAGCTCTGTGGGGCCCTACCGAGCCGAAATATGACCACGGCCAGTTGCCGCCGCATGGCTCTTCGGACTATCATTCTCAGGGGCCTCATCTGCCTAGTTCGAATAGAAGGCCAAGGGCCTCTCAGACCATCAGTCTCATGGGCCTCCTCTGGCTAGTATAAATAGAAGGGCCTGTTAGACCATCAATCCTAGGGGCCTCCTCTGGTTAGTATAAATATATAGAAGAGCCTCTCAGACCATTAATCTCAGGGGGGTCCTGTGGACAGTATAAATAAAAGGACCTCTCAGATCATCAGTCTCGGGGGCCTTCCTAGAAAAGTGTAAATGTGGATAGAGGGCCCCCTCAGAATTATTAGGAGTGGACCTCTCTGACTATCAGTCTCAGGGGCCTCTTGTTGCCAGTATGAATATAAGAGCCTCTCAGACCATCGGTCTCAGGGGCCTCTTCTGACTAACTAGTGTGTGGATAGAGGGCCCTCCCAGACCACCAGTTTCAGGGGCCTCCAGTGGCCAGTTATATGAACAGAAGGGCCTCACAGCCATCAGCCTCGGGGGCCTCTTCTGACTGGTGTGAATATGAGGGCCTCTCATACTATCAGTCTCAGGGGCCTCCTCTGCCTAGTGTGAAGATAAGGGCTTCCCAGGTCATCAGTGTCAGGAGACTCTTCTGACTGGTGTGGATTGAGGGACCTCCCAGACCGAAAGTTTGGGGGTCTCCTGTGGCCAGTATGAATAGAAGGGCCTCTCAGTCCATCAGTCTCATGGGCCTCTTCTGCCTGGTGTGATTATAAGGGCCTCTCAGGTCATCAGTCTCAGGGGCCTCCTCTGACTACAGTGTAGATGGACAGGCCTCCCAGACCATCAGTCTCAGGGGCCTCTTCTGACTATTGAGGATAGAGGGGCCTCCTCTGACTAGTGAGGGCAGGGGGCCTCGGCTAGACCGCCAGTGTCAGGAGCCTATTCTGACTAGTGTGGATGGAGGGGCCTCCAAGACCACCAGTCTCAGATCTCTGACTAGTGTGGATAGAGGGGCCTCCCAGACCGCCAGTGTCAGGGGCCTCAGTGTGGATATTGGGGCCTCCTCAGATCCACTAGGGCCTCTCAGGCCATCAGTCTCAGGGGCTTCGACTGACAAGTATGAACAGAGGGCCTCCTTGGATCCATCACGGCCCCTTGGAGTCCGTGCGTAGGGATTCGTGGAACTTATTTTTTACCGAGTTTGTTTATTCTGGAAGGTGACGACGTCCTCTCAAATCGAGACGAGGGGGCCTCGAGTGAAAAGTGGGTGGGCCAAAACACATGGTTGGCCCCCCCCACCTCGAAAAGTGGGTGGGCACTTGCCCACCTGGCCCCCCCTGTTCCTACGCCTATGTTCCTAGCACTGTGAAGCACTGAATCACAAGTAAACATGACCACTGAGCCGGAAAACTGCACCCGTAACCCCGCTGTATGTCCCTGAGGTCATTTCAGGTCGTGAACGGTATCTAATAGTTTTTCGCCAATAACTTTTGATAAAGGCATGCCAGAGCGATGAAAATACCTTAGATGTGTATAGCTCGACGACACGGATCACCTGATGTGCAACAAGACCTTCGATGCTTCTCGACGGGGGGAGCACGATGCTGATAAAAGTGAGCTCTTGCAAGTTCTGAGTGAAACGCTACTGAAGAAAAACTATCAGCAAACAACGTACATTTTATCAGCAAACAACGTACATTTTAGCCTTTTTTGTCTCCGCAGGCTAAATCGTTATTCTTAGGTTAAATCTGAGGGCGTCATTCAGAAAAAAAACGTTAAGAGAGCTATCGAATGCGTTTTTCCGCAGCTCTGTAGCTCTATCCTTTCCTGAGCTATAGGCCAGTTTGTCGAAAATTGTCAAAGGTTGACCTGGAAATTGGCGAAATTTTACGTTCGATGACCTATGGTGAGCTGACTTTTGACTTGACCTAAAAAGTGGCCATAGTTTTCCTCCATCATGTCTTACTCTCTTTCGAACGCCGACTACGGC